TTGTTCTTCCTAACGTTTCACCAGTCTCTGTGGCCGGCATCTTCAGAGGACAGCACTTCACCAGAGCACAGAGTGCTGTCCTCTGAGGATGTCGGCCACAGAGACTGGCGAAACGTTAGGAAGAACAACCTTCAGAACATGGCCGAAGAGCCCAAAAAACCCACAACAACCATTAGATCCCGGCCGTGAAAGCCTTCGCGAATACGTTAATGATCATTTCAGTTTTTTTAAACCAATCAACAGATGGTCTGGTATTTACATTAAACCCCCTGTAGGTGCATCAGATCATGCGCTTCTGCATTTTCAGGCATCCCTTGCTTTTTCCTCCCCTTCACATTATGAGGTGTCAGTGGGGTGTTGCTGTCTGACCCTCCACCTTCTTGGCTTTTTTGGGAGCAGCTGCCATAATCAGTCCAAATTTCTCATCATGATTACAAGCAAAGGAATACAAGCTATACTACCCTGAAAAAAAATCTTTCAAAAGTGTTATTTTTATTCAAACTTTTACACCCTTGCTGGACAGAGGTATACTTTATAACTGAGGTTTTTAAAGACCTGTTAACACAGTCTCTAGAAATCTATGGTCTGATTTTCTCAGTAACTTTTTTTTAAAAAAGGATAGATGTTATTAAAATCTGTTATGTTTCTTTAAAAGCTTAGCCATATAATCCACAGTTCTCCTAGTGATGTATAGACAACATGATGCTGGTAAGCAACCAATGTAAGAACGTAAAAAGCAGTCTTAAAACAGATTTTTCCACATAAAATTTGCAGCATTCTTGAAAGGCTGTGTGCACCCCAGGACAGACAGACATGGACCTGTTGACCAGACATTTCTAGGTGGCATCCCTCACATGCTTGTTTCATATAGCCAGTCAGACAGTGTTTCAGAATTCCATAGAGGCTTGCCCTTACAATGGACCTCGTGGCTTTTTCCCCTTTTTTCAGGGGTGTAAATCAGATGGTCCCTGAAAAATCATAAGGGTTTTTAACAAACACAAACAGAGTTATCATATATAGCAGCCCCCTGCTGCCACCCTTCCACAAATGATTACATACCAGTGTTTAAGAAGATTTCTCTATATAAAAGGGAGCTTCCACATTATGCCATTTTTCAGGATCTTCCAGGCGTTGTTGTGATGCAGGTGGGATATTCTCATTGTCAGATTCTGTGCTCATGTACCACTTTCTGGGCTTTCTGGGGTTGGCTGGAGTTTTGGCATCCAGGTTCTTTTGGCTTTCTGCCTTTGGGGGTGACTGGGGGGAGGGGAGCTGGTTTTCCTTGTCCTCCATCTTCTCCAAGCCGCACCGGTCTCTGCAAAGAGTGGCAAGCACATGCAGAAGGCCCCCAAAATCACCGCTGTGGTGTTTCAGCCCCAGGCGGCCTAAGGACATGCCAAGACATGCCCTACGGCCACCCCCTTTTCTAGCCAAACCCCTCCAACCTCGCCCCATTGGCCCACAGGACCACAGGGGTGACACATGACTTCGGGGGGCCAATCCTGAGGCCACACTCTGGTCATGGGGGACCCTGGCATCTATGAACCCCTCTTATAGGGGGGTAGACACACGGTGGCCTCAACATAGGAATCCTCCTATAGGGGTTCACAGATGCACGGTGGCCTCAACAACCGCCTACATCACCCTAAAGCCCCACCCACCCAGGAGAAGGGCCCTGGGTCGATTCTTGACCCTTCGTCCCACCTCGCAGGTCTGACGCACCAGTCAAAAGTGATTTTGATGAATGCTAGGTAGTATTACTACTGTGGTTCACTTGTTAAGCCACTTCACAAAATTGGCGAATTCAAACTGGAAGGCTTGTTTTGGATTGATTTCAGCAATTGCATAAGTGATTTTCAATCCAAACCAGAGCAATCCTACCCGCAACAACAACAACAACAACAATAACAACCACCACCACCACCACCACCACAACAACAACAACAATAACAACAACAAAGGTAGAAGCTCCTTGACATGGACCAGAAAGGTGCAAGTAGGAGCACTCTGGGGACAGGCTGGTGCACCAGAGCAAAGCTTTCATCTGATTGCCATCTTTAAAAGTGCACCATCTGGTCCCTGCAACACTCCAAACAGTGAGCTGACATCCATATACTGTAGTCAACCTCTTAATCTTCCCATCATCCCTTTGCATCTGAAAAGATGTGTAAGCTGAAGTCTGTGACCTATATTGCATAATGGCTTTTCTAGATGGAACATTTGTTCTGTGTGATGTACCTGAGTCATCACTGACAGTTACTAGTATTTTCCTGCCATCCCTGGAATATTCTCCCTCTTTAGTAGAGGAATATTTAACTTGTCTTTGGTTTTTTGTTGTTGTTTTTGTCCTGCAAGACTTTTTGCTTCAGTGTGTTCCAGGGTGGAGTTTAGCACTATGGTGCTTCCCATGATGTTCATTCCCATAATCAGAGCTTCTTAGTGAGAAGCTTTCAGTTTGCATTAAATCATCCCTGCGAGTGCTCCTTTCTCTCTGGTCAGGCAATCAGACAGGGCAGAAAGCAGAGAGCAGTGATGCCAAATTGGATCAAGAGTAAACCAGCCCTGCCAGATGAACTTTTTTAAAAAGGGTGATTCCTCACTAAAAAAGCAGCTGTTCCCCACTGGCTTCTCCATGCTTAGCTTGTTGACATTGTGTAATCACTGGTTTTTAATACATATATATTTTGTCCATAGCCGATCTGATGCAAACTGCAGAATAAATGACCAGTGAACATGCCCCCTCAGTTAAATTCCATTAACTCACAGTTCATTAACAAAAACGACCAAGATGCCTGTCACATTATGAGATGTGTGCATGACTGTACAAGCATGTGTACTGTAACGCAATACATTATGAGATGTGTGCATGACTGTACAACAAGCATGTGTACTGTAACGCAACTGGCACCTTGTTAGTGATGACAATTCAGAGCAGTGCCAGCAGTTTAATTTACATGCATGTAAATAATCAACAGGACTTTGGCCACCATTTTTAAAAGTTGTTTCCCTATTTCTGTTACTATCAGCATCCTTGGTGCTATGAAACACAGCTACAAGCACCATGTCCCCTGTCATAAGTAGCAATACCACTCCTAGAGAAGGTTCCCATCTCCTCTTACAGAAGTCATCCTGTTGGTTTCTGCTATAAGCGACAAACAGGCAGAAGAATTCTTCCAGCAGTACTGTGGGCTTAGATGTTTCTCAAGACCAGGACAAAGCAGGGTGTTTTTTGGTGGTTCCAGACATTCAAAGTTCTCATCTGGATTTGGGCTGGAAATATCAGGTAAAGTCTTGGCGCCTAGCGGGAACATTGTAAACTAACATAGTTTGCCGCACTGCATAGTATCATTTCTGATCACACAGCACGTATGTTACGGAATCAACTTAGCGTTCAGTTTCTTTGCTTTGAGGAACATGATTTGATGTGAGAGCCTTTGACATTGGTTTTAAACCAACAGTTTTTTCATAGTGGAGTATTATATTTGGCAATTTTGTTTCCCATGGTCTCCAACACAGAATTAGCCTTTTTCGTAGGAGCTGCACATTAGATCAGTGTTTCCACTGAGAGTCCACAGAAAGTCCAAGTCTTCTCCCCTGGTCCTTACGCTCAGTAATGACCCCGTATTTTGAGACCCATTTAATATTACTATTGCAGCTCATTGAGCTACAGTTGCAGACATGTAATCACAGAGTTAAACTCATCTAATACGTACAAGGCCAGCTGCATGCTCACATGAACAAGAGATGACTGGTAGTCTTAGGAACCTCAGATGGTACTGAAAATAGTAATAATTGATAGCCATATGCCATCAAATAGGTTCTGACTTAAGTAACTGTTTCCAGAGTTTCCTATTACAGTATAGGGTACTCAGAAGTGGTTCACCATTCTCCTTCTGCAGCTTGCCCAAGGCTACACTTCAGGCTGGCTCTAGTGGCAGGAGGCACGGTGGGGAATCAAACCCCAGACCAGGTCTCCTCAGCCAGATACTTCCTCTAGTTGAACTCTCCAAACAACTACTGTAAGTAATAAGGCATCAGGTAAGGCATCAGGCCGGCAGGTGCACACATCCGAGAAAGCCTGAACTCTCTTCTCTCTCGTGTTGTTGCAGTTGCGTTTGGTAAACTCATGTGGTGGAAGAAAGTTGCTGACTCCTCAAGCTCTCGAAGGAAGCATCGCCTTCGGGGTGGCCAATGAGAGATGGCCTATGCCAGTATTTCTCAGGAAACGACTATTGATCCTTCCCTTTTGCATAACAGATTAGAAGGCCCATGACAAAGGTTCTAGCTTGGGGTCAGCTTCTCCTGTTCTAGTATTGTTAAGGCCAGCAGAAGCACTAAAAGAAGAGGCATCTCTCCTGCACCTCCTGAAATGGTATCGTGGAGCACCCCAGCACCGCTCCAGATCCTCCTCAGGAGCGAAAGCAGCGCTCCAGCACTTGTGCCCCGCCAACCTTCCGGGGGTTAAGCCCTGATCAGGGTCAAGCCCTCCGGCGAAGGTGGGCAAGAATGAACCCTTCGGGGAGGGTCCCCAGAAGCTCCCGCTCCCACTCCTCTCTCCCTCACGTCCCTTCGCGTCGGCTCGACCACCGCCTGGCCTTTTTGGCTCCCGTCCCCAGAAGCTCCCGCTCCCACTCCTCTCCCTCACGTTCCTTCGCCTGGCCTTTTTTGCTCCCGGAGGACAAAGGGAGAGCGCGCCTGCCGCCGGCCTTCTTCTCGGGGCCGCGGTTCTCGCGTCTGGGTGGGCGGCGGCGGCAGCCGCAGGTGCTGGGAGGGCAGGACCGGGCTGTCACTCAGCGGGAGCCGGCGGCCCG